TCTATTGCACCGTTGACTATTAACAAAAGTATTGCACAAAAGGTAATTGCACAGTGAAGTGAAGAGGCACTACAGCTTAGTTTTTCCCCCCTCCTTTGTCCTCCTGTTTCCCCTCCCTCTCCCCCCCAGAGAGGAGTTCTCTGCAGTAGGGAATCAAAAGTGCAACAAGCATCAGTAATGTGTTCATTTTTAGCACTGACTCATGCAACACATCCTGGTGTACAATACAATGGAAAAATAATGGGTAATGGGTTCATTTCAGTGTCTTTATCTGGGATCTGCTTAAAAAGTCCAAAATTTCTCTCTGTCAGCTCTCGGTTGTAACGCCTGTCGGTTTGTTCCATTTCAGCCTCAGCCTATCCGCGTGCAGTTCATGAATAAATCACTCTCTTTCATACTTGCTTTCATTTTGCTTTCTGAACTCAACTATGTAGTCTTTGGTAATCTCATGTACAAAAATTAGTAACTGCTCTGTCGCCCATCCCTTTTGTATGTGTCTCTGAATGAAGCTGTGGTGGGGAACGTTAACGTGGACATGACCTACAGTTTGAACGGCAGAATGACATCATTGTAAAATGTTGCATGTTTGAAAAGAGTTTCGGTGTCCTGGACACGAAGGAGTGGAATCACCTGCTGAGACGGCTCCTGAAATTGTTTCAGTGTGAGAAAATATCCTTAAACAGTTTACTCTCCAACATGTGTAAATGTCTTGGAGACAGGATGTTTAAGTAGTGTAGGCTTGTTGTGTGAACATCCCGTACAAGACACATGGACTACAAACAATCCACGGTACCTTCGTGACATCTGTCGACCACCTCTGTCATGCCACCACATGGAAATGACTCCTGTCTCCCAGCTGGGATATGGCTCTGGGTCACACCAGATGCTACAAAGTCCATGAAATTTAGTGGGTCACTTAATATTTGCATGTTTGGCCTTTCAGCCGTGCGATGAGTTTGTATTTATCCATAAATGCCTTTTTACAGTCCTGTTATTTCCAGCAAATGGCAATATGTCTGAGCTTAAGTTTGGGCATTTGTGACTTTAAAGTACATTTAAATTCTCAAGTTAATTCAGTTTTAAATATGTTTCTGTACCAGTGTATCATATTGGTTCTGTTTTTTTTCCTCAGAGTCTTAATGGTGTTTGGGTGAATGGAACTCGTTTGCCTTCCGATGAAGCCCATCAGGTCAGGCTCGGAGACTCCATACAGCTCGGAGTTCCTGTAATTGGAAACAAAGCAGAGTTTGACTATGTCGTCGTCCAGAAGCCCCTCAGAGACATTAAACGCTTCCTGGCAAAGAAACTGGTAGAGCGAGTAACTTCAAAATCTGCCCACATATCCAAGAAGCCCAAGAGGAAATTGACCATGGAAGAAGTGGAGCCATCTACCTCGAAGCCCAAACTCTACCGCTGCTCTTCTGCAGACAAGTCCTTGGCAGTGCCCTGCCCTTTATCTCCGCTAAAAGGTCAGCAGCGACTCAGTCACATAAAGCCAGAGGGAACCAGACCTGGCAGAGATGACCGTCAAGCAGAACGACCTTCAGATGGCTCCAGTGCTACCCGTGACTTTGACAACTTGCAAATGTAAGCCAGAGTAACAGCAATATAAGAAACAAATGTACCCAGTAATAAAAGAGTGAGTGAAAAATACTACTCTGAAGTTTTGTTTTCCTTGTTTATTGTCTGCAGGTACAGTCAGAACATTCTGCTCTTAAGGGAGCAGGTGGATAACACCCAGAGGCAGGTCGCCTCCCTGGAGGGGGAGCCCCGACAGGCTGACCCGCTCAGAGAGGAGCAGGTCAGGGAGCTGCGGGGTCAGCTAGATACACTCAGAGCTAAAATGCACAGGATGGAGACATTGGAGAAGTCTTTTAGTGAGACTAAAAGACTGCTAGAGGTGAGTTGTTTTTTGTTTTGTTTTATTGTAGTGTCTTTTATGTACAGGAGTTCCTTCATTAGCACCCATTTTAAAAATAGCCTTGCCTGTTTGTTGTCTTGTTGTTACTTTTTTTTTAAAAGCTCCTACAAGTGACAGTTCATGCTTGATTGGCACTGCTTTGTAAGCTGCTATTTTAAATCAAATCTGTCATTAAATTTTAGTTATTTGACAGCCAGCAGGCCTCTGGTGTGAGTGTCTTTGTCTCTTTTCCCACTGTTATTATATTTTATCATGATTGTATGTGAGTATGCATTCATATTGGGGGGTTATGTGTCTTTCTAGTCCTCTGCTATTCCAACTTGACTTGTTGCAATAGCACCACACTCAAATTCAGTGAGCTCTCTTGAAAGGTCCATTCTTTCACAAATACCAAAGATTAAGCAGTGTGGGCCCAATACTTTTGCACCTATAATCCAAAGAATACAATTTTTGCATAAATAATTGCAAGACTCAAATATTCTCTTTCACCTTTTTATGCTTGTAGGAGCAGAAAACGCAGCAACAAGAGGAGCTTTTAAAAAAGCAGCTTGAAGAGGCCCTGCAAGAAGTATGTAGGATCAAACTAATATGTGTGCAGTAGCTGTTATTATTTAGAGTGCTTGCATTTTGGTAAAGCAGAATACGTTTTAATATGTGAATTTGTTTTCCACAAACCCTTAGCAAAAGAAAGTGATAGGTGAACTTGCGCTCTCCCGACAAGGCTTTGAAGAGATTCTCTTGGCCAAAAACAAGGAGTTGGAGGTGACAAAGGTATATTTAATTAATGCATTTATTTTTTTCCCTTCACATATTTCCACCTGCTTTTGCTTTCGGGGCTTCACTCCATTTCATCTGTTACAGGAGGAAAAGGAAAAGGCAAGAGCCCAAAAAGAGGAAGTAGTTACACAAGTGACCGAAGTGCTGGAGAACGAGCTTCAGTGCATCATCTGCTCAGAGCTCTTCATTGAGGTAGAACTGATTACAGTTTAAAAGCAATTATTATGAAACTTATTATACGTTGTTTTGTCTTTGAGCTGATTTGTATACTGGACGCCTCTAAATGTCATCACCTCGGTTGATCCCCTGCAGGCCGTCATTCTGAACTGCGCTCATAGCTTCTGCTGTTACTGCATCAATCAGTGGCGCAAAAAGAAAGATGAGTGTCCCATCTGCCGGCAGGCTATCCAGTCTCAGACCCGCTGTCTGGCGTTGGACAACTGCATCGACCGTATGGTGGAAAACCTGAGCCTGGACATGAAGGCGAGGCGGCAGACCCTCATCTCTGAGAGGAAAGGTGAGAGGTGCGTTAACAGTGGTGTCCTACATCAAATACAGTCAGAGATGCATGCGTGGCATTATGACGTCTGCTTTCACTTACAAACACAAACCACTCAGAGTAAGTTTTCCTTGTTTCAGATAAGCGAGCTGTTGACCGTGAAGTCATCAGATCAGGTCAGTGGAAAGCAGTGAAATGTTTCCTTGATGCTGTTGAGTCCAGTAACAGAGTCGGTCGGCTTATTTAACGGGGAGGAGTTCAGTAGTGTGTCATCTGTGGGTGTCTGTGGATTTATATGCTGATGTCACTTTTTAGTTCATAGTGAAAAATAAAACTTTGTTCAGTCCTATGAAAAACTGAGTGTACCCGATGATTCAGTGGCTTATAGCTTGTAGTCATTTAGCAGCAATAACTTGAAGTAACCATTTTCTGTAAGACTTTAAGTCTCTCACATTGTGGAGGAATTTTGACCCACTCTTCTTTACAGTGTTGCTTAAGTTTATTGAGGTTCGTGGGTATTTGTTTATCCAAAACTCTCTTAACGTCCCACTGTAACATTTCAGTTGTTTAGGTTTGGACTTTGGGCTATTGCACCTTAATTGTTCTTTTTCACATACAGTTTGTTGTAGTTTGCTGCTGTGCTTGTGATCATTGCTTGTTGCATGACTCAGTTTCAGCCAAGCATTAGCTGTCAAAAAATGGCTTCACATTCTATCTCGATTGCCTTGGTACACGGAGGATTCATGGTCGACTCAAAGACTGCAGGGTGCCCTGGTCCCGTAGCTCTAAAACAACCCCAAATCATCACCCTATAGCATCAGGTGGGGTTGTGATGAGGAGAGGTGGATTTTTCAAACACAAGATGGCAGCACAATGAAGCATTTTCTCTGTATTAAAATTGCAAAAAAATTGAGCTTTCCTACAGAAGGAGCTACAACATTATGTATAGTTGAGTTAGTCTATTAATGTGCGGTATAGTGGTGGTGAAAATGAGCATCGTCTGGTCCTGATGTTGGTGGTTTTCGTTTTCATTGGGTTTGTTTCCAATTTGAAAGACAGAACAATGCTGATCTCATCTTTTTAAAGTCTGACAAAGAGCTCGAGAGTCCCTCTTGAAATGTTTGCAAAATGCAACTTTTTGCCTTTTTGTGTTTCACAGCAGCTGAATCTGCAGAGGTGATGGTGATCCCCGATGATGACAGTAGCAGCAACAGCAACAGCGACAGCGATAGCAGCATGGTGTCCATAGATAGCAGCCTCAGCTCCGTGTTGTCTGTGGACACGGACAGTAGCATCCATTTGGAGTCCAGCTCTCCGTACAGCGGATACTCTGATGACAGTTCTGATGAAGATGAGGATTAGCCCCTTTTTCTCCTCTGGGCTGTAATATGGAATTAGACTTTTCTGCTGTTGAGTTTTGCTTTTCAATGGAATGTTCCCGGGACATTTAGGATAGAGGATGCAAAGTTTGGTCCAGGAAGGTTTATGTTTAGTTTATATTTTTTGTAAAATAATCATTTGTGTTGTCCTTATTTTCAACTAAATGAATAAAGTTTATTCATATGCATTTCAAGTTCAATTTCTGTTTCCTTATATTTCAAATAAACCTGGGAATTCAAACTTTTGTCAGTGGCACAGAAATCCTACTAGAATGTTTTCTGGGACTCAGTACTAGCCATGCTTCATACTTTAACAATAGTGATTTGTCTTTTTTTTATGGTGCCACCAGCACTAAGGGTAATCCTCTCATTTTTCCTTAAGTATTTTGATTCGTCCATTATGACCAAACACTTGCAAATTTAAAGCTCAACCAATAGCTGCAGGTGTGCTGCGTGCGTTTAGTGATATATGTTTTACTTCTTTAACATTCACTGACCCAGGTAACTAAAACTTCTGCTGTGTTTTGAAAGTCGTCACCTTGGTGTTGAGTTACATTCGCAAACAATCTCACAGTTCAAACAATGTGTTTAAACTGTGTTTAAGCAACAAATGTTTAAAGCTGGTACCACAGCAACATCAGCCCCTTATGACCAGACAACTATTGTGTTATCAAAAGCAGATACAAGCAGAAAAATGGGATCTAGTGGCTCTTTTATGCTTTGGAAAAGGGATGTTTAATTAGATTAGAATAGAAATATCCCTTATTGTCCCTCATTGGGGAAATTCAGGTGGTCCAGCAGCAAAGTGATAGGCAGATGGAGCATTCAGATTTAAAAAAAAAACAAAAAACAATTCACAACATAATGACAGAAAATACTGTGGAGTTATTAAGTTATTTAAAAAAAAAAATTAATTATTAAAAACAGAAAAAGAAAAAAACTGCAATTAGGAGACCAACATCACAGCAAGAAGATCCTGGGTCCAAATCCATCTTGTATGGTCCCCCTGTGCCTGCCTGGCTTCTTTATGGGTACTCCAGCTTCCTCCCCCTGTCCAAAGAAATGCATGTTATCTTAACTGGCTGACTGTGAATGGTGGTCTGTCTCTCTATGTTAGCCTCGGGATTGGCTGACAACCTATCAGGACCCTGCCTTTCAAGTGGGATAGAGTCCAGCCCCCTGTGACCCTGAATTGGATAAGGGGAAGAGAATGGATATATACAGATGGATATAAATCTCCTATGATGAAATATTTCTATGCTGATGGGCTGCAGCACAGTTTATAATGTGGTAATGCTGTAATAGTAACACTTTCCAGAGCTACTCTCATTTATTATAGCCTGCCATGGTTTCTGGCTGTGAGTCAGGGATTAGAAATCAGGAGAAGATCTGCTAACTGAACCCCAGTAAACTGAATCTTATATAGAAGTGTTGAGATCAAACATAATCTCCTTCGTCAGCTTTGTTGGTTCAGTTTGTTTTTCCATTAAAAGAAAAAGAGGTAAAAGCACATCAATGCTGGTTAACTAGCATAAATCCATTAAGCTTTTTGTTCTTCAATTGGAAAACATCCTCCTGCATTTAATAGGTTAACAAAACTAACAAGTCTCAGTGTGTTAGAAAAAACAAAGGCAACATGTTTTTAAAACAACATACTGTCATTTGTTTTCTGTGGCTCCCTGCCTTCAATTCATGCCCTGAGTCACCTGGGAGTCGCCCTGCCTTGCAGACAGGCTGTGGAGCTGGGAGGCTTGCAGAAAACTCTGGCAACACTCCACAGTTTACCTCAGCTCTCACTGCTTCAGCCTCATATAAACAAACAACTGAATGACTTCAAGTCTTAACATAGTGTGGGAATTTTCAGTAGCTTCGCGTGATTCATAGTTGCTGAGATTATGTTTCTTTTTTTAAAATTAGGATGTTTACATGGGCTGTTGAAGTGCACAGGCCGATATTTAAAGGGCACCACTTCCAAAAGGCTTTATTGTCATCATGACCCTTGACCATTAGAGCTGTCATCTGAAAAAGATCATGAGATCATGAGTTACTTCACAATGTTACACTTCTAAATCTACCAGCGGTGGGCGTCACATTTAAAAATAGATTTCCATCTTGGAAAGAAGCACTTTATTTTGCTAAATCCTTCTATCTTTTAGTAATTAGACAATAGACACACGCTCTGTTGCCTGGTAACTAATGCAACAGCTCCTTGGGATCTGAAAGAAAATGAAAGAGAGATGGCACCGGCTGCTCCGGTGCAAATGCACACAGTCTTCAGACTGCAGACAGACAGCTTTGATCCTGTGTTAACTCCATGGCCTGGCTTTGGTTGAGGTCTTAATTGCACTATAATCACTGCATCTATCTAATGCTCCTGAACTAAATCACTTATTATCCCTGAGAAACAGCAATTATTCAGGAAAATGTATAAGCAAATATCCTGCCGCGCTGCACTATTTGTTAGGGGGAAAAGGTTGATTCCAATGTAAATATTCACACATTCTTAAATTAATTATTATTATATCTTAAAAAATAAAATGCTTACATTGCCCAATGCTTGGATGGTCAATGCATTACCAGAAAGTAAAAGTAAAAGTACCCAGGCATGTTATTCTTTCTTTTGCATCTTCTGATTCGATACCTCTGGCAAACAATAGGGTTGAATAGCTGGTGGGTGGGGCTTCTATGCTCATAGCCAGAACTGTGTCCATAAGAGAAACATTAGGGATGCCACTCTCCACTGTCATCACAGAGCTAAGAGTTAAAAGTAATAATTAAAATCGTACTTACAAAAGCCTAACTTGCTCATACACTCTTTACCTTAAATTTTGTCCTTGTTTATTACGATTTTAATAAATTATTGGAAATGTTTTTTGTTTTTCTCATTTCTCTTGTTTGCTTCATGCCAAAACACCAGAGATGCCACTCTGATCAGTAAACATGTGCACCCCTTATGTGGTGCAGTGACAACCCCTCCCTTCGAACACTGTGATTCACTCCACAGAGAGCACTGGGACAGCAGCCTACAGAGTGAGTTTGCCTTCTGTGCTGTGGATGCCTGATGTCACGCCAGTCCATTAAAGCCGGAGTACGAGGGACGTGTGTGTCTGTCAGACCGCGTTACACGAGGACGACAGTGATGGACTGCCTCGGGGCTACAGTTGGAGCCTCTCGTTCCTCCATCCGAGCTGCCATCCGACTCCTGGAAGCAACCTCACGATGCCAGTAACAGCTATCTAACTGTTACTCAGTCACGCTCTCTCTGCCCAAGCATATGGGGAGCAGAGTCAGGATTGCAGCATCATGTACCTGCTTTCATCCATGCTTGAATGTTACACAACTGATGAAAGCTGATGAAGTCCACAGATGATTAATTCAAGGAACAAATTTATCCTGCATCTACTTGGTATTTGATTCGGGCACTTTAAAGCAAAGATTCACACAAATGTATGAAATTAAGTGTTACATCTTTCCACTGCATCAAAGCAGCAAGGCTACACACTCTCGTTCCGTCTTTACAATGCCAAAATGCTTTTCAGACTATGAAAAAAGTGTAATTTGTGGCTTATGTGATAACAGTGGTGTCAAGTTCAAACATCTCATTCTCTCAGTGCAATTAGCTCCTACAGCCGACTCTAATTTGTGACTCCATCTCTAGCCATGTAAAATAACTTGGCTTTAAATGATGTTTTGCTTAATAACAACCATGAGTCCCTTAAGGTGGTATTTACAGATTTCTCACCTCCTACACAGTAGCCTTGCACCTGTTTTGTGTTGCTTGTGAGACAGATGGATCCACTCCAGTGTGCTCTTTTCCAAAAGCCCCATGGTCCAGACCCAAGGTCCATCTGGCAGTTTGGTGGCTTCTGAGTATTTCACAGCATGATCACTGCTTCCTCAGATGCAAACCTAAACACAAAGCACTCGTTTCTCTGTGAAAATAAAGCTGTGGTTGTATAAATACTGGATGTTATTTAAACATGCGATTTGTTCCAGGTAGCTTTGATTCCCAAATTAAGCAACTTATGATTGTACTCTTCTTCTCTTTCTACAGCTCATTGTTATTATTATTAATATTATTATTAGTGGTAGTAGTAGTAATACTATAGTTTGTCATTGTCTGTGTTGTGTATTTAAGAAAAACTGTTTCATTTTATGAAACTCGGAAATTTGCTTTCCCGAACATATACTGGTGACTCACAAAAATGAAAATGATTTCCATGTGAAATGCGTACTTCCATGTGTCTTACTAAATTTTGTATTTATTTTTTGTCCCCTAAACACAGCAGTAAACAGTATAAACATTACGTTTATACGTACATCGAGGTATCGGTCAACATTCAGAGTAAAAACTCAAATTTCCCAGAGACGTTAAAGTAAACTCACTGCGTTCCGTTCCCATGGGAACAGATGAACCCTAAACCAGTACTGCAGGTATGTTAGCATGTATACGACAAGGATTAGGCTGTGTATATCTAACTAAATGACATGAAACAAATATTAAATAGCTCCGTGAAGAAGTTTTTATTCGATAGCTATAACAGTGGTGGGACTACATGCTCTTAAGCTAACTATGTAAGATACCGTATTGGCCAGAAGCTAGCAACTTCTGCCCAACTTCAAAAGCAACTCAATAGCCCAATAGCTGAGCTAGTTAGACTCACCATATAACTACAATTGAAAATATAATATCTGTCTATGAAGGAAACTTTAAATGTGTGATTTATTTATTGACTTATTCTTTTTTATTATTCATTATTTATTTATTTAGTCCACTTCTGGCTCTTATTTTGTAAAATTACTGTAATAACTTTGTTCGAACATTGTTAGGAAATAAAAACTGCACGTAATCGCAAAATGTAATCAAAGTAAGTGAGTTCGTTAACTGAATTTAAACTAAGCTGATGCAGTTTATAAATTATTATTTTATTTATTAAGGGGGGAAAGCTATTTGAACCTACCTGGCCTGCCTGCCACCCCGTTTGTTAAATTATTATTTTAACCACATTTTCAGAAAGCTGAGTTCAATTTTCTATCCACACCCAGGACTGATCACTGCAGTGATCATTGTAGTAGACTAAAAGACCACAAAAAGTAACACACCATGCCACGGTTGAAAAAAGCTGTTGAGAAACAAAGTCATTGAGATCTATCAGTCAATGACAAAGCAATTTCTAAGACTTTGGGA